CTCCAGCACCCCCAAAGCTAGCACCGATAGGGTCCTCGCCACAAACACGGGCTCCCGCAGGGTTTGCCGCAGGCTGCGAGGAGGACTGCGGGGAAGGAGGCTGTACCTGAGGGGCTACCGAGGGGGGAGGGGTAGCGTGGGACACACCTGACGGGGCTGGACCAGGGGGGGGAGGCTGTACCGGGGGAGCAAGAGGGGGAGCGGAAGTCAGGAAGAGAGGGGGAGGAGGAACCGGGAGACCTCGGTAGGGGTACCTGACGTGGTAGGGGACGGACTCGTCGAAACTGACGTCACGGGAGTCAAAGAACCGGTGAAGGGGAGGGTGGTAAAAGGTAAAGTCAGAGGAGTCCTCTGGGAAACCAAGGAACACACAGGGAACGGCGCGAGGCGAGATCTTGTCTGTGGAGGTGTCGCGAACAAGAGCCAAGCAACCCCAGACATGAAATCGCGACGCAACACCAGGGGACCCGGTCCAAAGACTAGTCGGTGAAACCTCTGGCCGAGAGACACGTGGCCAGAGGTTCAGTTGGTGAGCGGCGTACCTAACTGCGTAGGGCCACCGAAAATGGGGGGCACGGGCGTGAGACAAGGAGGTGCGGGTGATCTCCATGACCAAGCCTATGCGGCTCTCAGCATCCCCATTCTGCTATGGGGACTCTGGAAGCGTCCAGGACTGACGAATGCCCTGCTCGCGACAGAATCCAGCGAGAATGCCGGAGCGAACCTCACCCCCACTGTCGGAGTGAAGACAGCTGACTCGACGACCACGAGTGCCCTCAGTGGTAAGCAACCACCTGATCAGCGTAGAAGTCACCTCAGACTTATTCGCAAGGGGGAACACTGTGGTGTAGCGGAAGTAGTCGTCAACGACCACCAGAAAGAAACGCTCATGCTCAGGGCCAAGGCGAGAGGCGGGGCCCCAAACGTCCAAGTGGAGCGTCTCAAAAGGCTTGGTGGCTGGACGAAGGGAGGAGTGAGGGGTGGCGCGCAGCCTACCCTTGAGACAGGGACCGCACGGTGGTGCAAGCGAAGGCGGCAGCGACGGCAAGACACGTGGGAGGCCTAAGACAAGACGCTGACGAGACATAGTGCGCAGACGAGGGAGAGACGGGTGCCCCATCCGGTGGTGCCACAGAACGGTGGGGTGGGCAAGTGATCGGCAGGAGCACGACGCAGCAACTGGACCAGACACGGGAACCTGACCAGACACATCTACCTGGGGGGACGCAGCAACCTGGTGAGACGCAGGGACCAGACTGGGGGAAGGAACAGGGGCCGGGGGCATTAGTCGCTGCTGCTGTTGCTGCTGCTGCTGCGGTGGCTGCTGCTGCTGCTGCCCACCAAAGCCAGTGTGAAGTGTGTAGAGACAAGAGCCCGTCTCAGCTGTAAAGGTGGCAAGAGGCGTGTAAGTGTCTCCGTCAACACAAACCGACGTCTCACCAGAGGGCTCCATCCACACATCCACGTGCTGATTCACAAGAGGCCTCACGCCCACCAAGTTCCGCGAGAACAAGGGGACGTGGAAGCCAATCAGAGACCCAGAGGGAACAGCAGGGCACGGAAGAGTACTAGTGTAGGGAGCAGTGACTGGTCCCGAGGTGGGATCAGCCAGAGCCACAGAGACCGGCGCCGGAAGCGGAGTAAGTGTCATGTGGTCCCGGAAGAAGCAATGCGAAGCCCTAGAGTCCAAAGTAAAAGACAGTGAAGTGTCCTCCGAAGTAGCTCCTGGACTAGTGTCTACACAAGTGCCTACACTAGCAATAGGCAACTCAGCAAGACTAGCACCTAAGCTAACAACAATCGAGTAAACAGAGTCAGAAGCACTAGAGTCAACAACAGCATACATAGCATGAGGAGTTCCTAAGAGATCAACCAACTGAGAAGCTGAAATGCCCCTAAGAGTGGAACCGTATGTTTGAACAAGAGGAAACCAGTCAGGGGCAGGGCCGCCAACGCAGAAGGCCAAGCGAACTGTGTCAGTGAGCTGAGCAAAACACTGACCAGGAGGGTGGGTGCGACCACAAGGCTGGCCTCGGTGAGCACCTAGCAAAAGCTGATAGGTGCACGAAGGGTGAACAACACCTCGCTGGGGCTGGCGCTGTCCTGGCCCCGAAACCTGCTGCTGCCGCTGCTGCTGCGAGGGCTGCTACGAGGGGAGGGGCTGCTGCTGCTGGGCCAGGTACCACACCGCTGCTCCACCTAGCGCGGCCGGGAGACCAGAAGGTGGCTGACGAGCCCGGGTGTCGCCTCCACCAGCTGCAGTAAGGGAGTCACTGGACGCTGCACGAGACGCCTCTCTAGGCCCTGCGCTCCCTCCACCACCAGTCTGCACACCACCCCCGCCACCCCCGCCGCCAACGCCTCCACCGCCACCTGTACCCTGACCGCCCCTCTTGCAGCCTCTACCTCGAGACCGCGAAGAAGTCGTAACAGCAGCTGCGGTCACGTTAGTAGCAGCAGTGGCTAGAGAGGCTGTAAAGGTGGGCAGCTGAGGGACGGTGCACCCGTGGAACAGTGGAGGGGGCACAGCACCAGAGGCGGAGGCTACGGAGCGGAGGTTGCTCTCGACGTCCTTAGCGCAAACTCAAGGACCTCGATAGTGAGCTCACTAGGGTGCTTCAGAAGAAGCGTATCACGGACTGAGGAAAGGCGGTCAGGGAGGCTAGTGGCGATGAAATAGATAGTAATCGCCATGGGGGGAGGAAGCAGTGCAAGCTGTGCCTCAGTGCAAGCAGCGCGGTAGCTAGAATCAAGCGAGCGGAGGTGAGCAATCAAGTCAGCAGAGCGCTCAAAAGAGGTGAGGCCAGGGAACAGGAACGGTAGGAAAAGTCGGCCAAGAGAGACAGTGGTGGGAGTAGCGAAGCGAGCCTTAATCGCAGTCAGGAACTCACTAGCAGTGTGAACCTGAGAGAAGTGGGCCTCCTCAGACTCAGTGAGGAGGTTGCTAAGAGCGATGCAGGCCGCAGCGTCACGCGACTTCCACGCCGTCAGGTCAGCACGCTGGCGGGTAAAGCGGTCCCTGGCTGCGTCGTCAGGGGCGGTGCCTAAAGGCGTAGGGTCGTCGGGCGCTGGAAGGTCACCAGTAGCGTGCGCCCAAAGGGACGTGCCCGCCTGAACTTGACTCTCTAAAAAGCGACGCGCGCGTAGGAGTCAGACTGGAAACTCGAGAGGTCTACCGTCAGTGTCAAAGCGAAGAGCCCTAGGGGTCGCCATAGTATAAGTAGAGGCGACAAGTCCGGCGGCGGGTGGCACTGGTAGGGATGGTGGGCGGCTAGGGCAAGTCCGTGACAGGCGCAAAACGCGGGCACAATGGGGCTAGGGCGGTCCCGCGGCGGACTGAACGAGTAGGCACAACGGTGCAAAGGGCGGGCCTAACGAGCGGGCCCGTAGCGGACTTAACAAGGAGGCGCGGCGATTGGCTGAACTGGCTGGTGCGGCGGCTGTAAGGGAGGGCCCACGGCGGCTGTAAGGGAGGACCCGCGGCGTGCCTAACGAGCAGGCACGGCGGCGGGCGGTACGGGCAGGCGCGGCGGCTGTAAGGGAGGGCCCGCGGCGGCTGTAAGGGAGGGCCCGCGGCGGGCCTAACGAGAAGGCGCGGCGGCGGGCGGTACGGGCAGGCGCGGCGGCGGGACGAGCGGGCCCGCGGCCGGGCCTAACGAGTAGGCGCGGAGGCGGGCGGTACGGGCAGGTGCGGCGGCAGGCGCGGCGCGCGAGCGGGCGTTTAGGGCAGCGGGGGGAGGACGCGACGCGACGGGCAGGGTGGGAGGGCACGTCGCCACGAGCAGCGGGGGAGGGCGTGACTGGACGGGAAGCCGTGGAGAGCGCGACGCGACGAGCAGGGGGGGGGGGGGGAAGGTGCTACGCTACGTGGAAAGCGGGTCGGTGGAGTGGGCGCTAACAAACGAGCAAGACTGGATCGGGCCGGCGCTAGGCTCTGGCAAGACGGGTACGACTAGTACGAGAGAGCGAGACAGGCTCGGGCGGATCGAACGAGGAAGGGAGGAGCGGGATCCCACAGGATCCTAACCTATGTGATACCATGTTAAGAATGAAAGTGTTGTGTTATTGATGAGGGTTGGGGTACATATAGCAAACCTTAACATTTGTACCCCATAAGACAATCCTCACTACATGCTACAACATTTGACATGAACCTACACCATTATACTGAATTGTCAGTACGCTACATAACATAACCACTATACTGATTTTACAGGACAAGTATTTTGTCAAAACGTGTTTATGTCATGTTAGTGATGTTAGGCTGTAGTGGGTTAATCCCTATGGGATACAACCCTTTGTGAGGGTTGCTACTTGTACCACTCATCCTGCTTTAGTCAATCATTCCTGTTTCCATATTCTGACATATTTCTCTAATGCTGTTTTTTCAGGACAGGCCCATGACACCTATGTATCCTGAATTCTGGAAATTCAGGATAATTTATCCTGATAACATAGGGCCTGGTCCTATGGTTCTAATACAGTAAGTAGGTAAATGGATGATTCTAGGTTCAATTCGTTTTCCTTGCACCGCCTTCATCAGTTTCACCATTAATCACAACAATGCTTGGTACACATCATTCCAGTTCTCACGACTGGTACGGTAGCTCTCTTGCAAGCACAGTAACATCACATTCATGAATCTCTCGGAGGACAACACAGCAACATGCTGCTCTGCTGTGACTTACCTAGTACACCACACACAGCAACCCACTCCACTCCACCCTTCATTCCTTCCTTCCACAGCGACTCAGATCGAGTCTTGCAGACGAGACAGAACAAACGGTACCCGCGCTGCAGCACCCAGGCCAACTCCTCCGCACCTCAAAAACAGACCGCTACGACTCACAGCACACACGAGCACCGCTCCACTCTACCTTTCCACCCAGTACATCTTCACACACACAAGAATGCCCCTGCTGCCCCCAGGCAAATTTCCTCCGTGCCTCCGAACCAGGCTGCTGTGGCTCACACGCACCGTTCCGTTCCGCTCCACTCCATTACCCTTCCACCCAGTACTTCTTCACACACACAAGAATGCGCCCACTGCCCCCGGGGCGGTTGGCCTCGAAGCGGGCGTCCCAGCGCAGGCGCTTGGCGAGGGGCTGGATCTGCTTGAGAATGGCGTGGCTGTCCCGGAAGATGACTGCCCCTTCTGGCCTGAGCACCCGGTCCATTTCCCTCAACACCACCCCCACGTCACACCTGGTGGAGGGTGGGCCGGGAAGGAGCAGAGAGAGGGAGGGAGGGGGGCGTTGGCAGGTGGGACGGATGTGTGACGGATGTGTGAATGGAGGAGGGAGGCGTGGTGGTAAGACAGCGAGAGGGCTGGATGGCCGGATTGAATCAGGGTGGTGTCATGTCAACTCGTGCCAGATGCCGGGGATTCTTAAGTGTGACAAGACTGAACCTGCTAAAAATGGACAAGGCTTAGGGATGCGATCTATGATGCATGAGTGGGGTCGGGTTGGGTTGGGTCACCTTTGAGAACTCTCAGAAGGGACTCTCTAAACACAATTCAGCACTCTGCTAGCAAATCATCCACAGATTCAAGCACAGCACCCACTGTGTCTCGTGAACTTGACAGTTGAAATGGATGATCCTATTCCCTTTTGATCTCACCTTTTAGAGAGTGCAGAGAAGAGCCAAGCGGCATGGATGAGGTCGTAGGTGCGGGGGTAGGTGGAGAACGGCTCACACCTACGGCATGGACACGCAGGCGCGGTAGCGGATTCACAAGAGACGAGCGAGCGAGAGAGGAGGGGGTGGGGAGGGAGAGCAGAGAACGATGTGAGAGATGCAGGTGGAGGGGATGAGCAGCAGCTGTGAAGGCACAGTACAGACTAGCTTCTGAGCGATGGAACATGACAGTAGCTGTTCAGCTGCCGCAACGCATCTGGATAAAGCAGTGTCATGGGATAAGCAGCCAGGCCAACCCGTGCAAACTCGGCGAGAAAGAACAGTCATGCAAGAGACGAGAGAACCAAAGCAAGAAAAGGAAGAGTGACAGAGAAGTGAAAGGCGGAACCCAGAACAACTCCCTTGCCCCCCCCGCCCCCCCCTCCCTTCCCCTACCCCCGCCCCCCCCTCTCCCTTCCCCTTCCCCTGTTTCCCCAACAAAAGAACCTACCAGTCCTGGTATGTGCCAATCAATCCTCGCTCATAGATAACCCCCAGCGCCTCCCCCGGTGGCAGGCCCAGAGCCTCCGTCTTAGCAGACACCCTCCACTGGTACCCCGGCAGCCCCGCCGCGCCCACGCCATCCTCCCCCTTCCCTGCCTTCCGCGCCTGCTCCCCAACCTCCGCGGGTGTCTCCACAGGCACCACGTTCATCACCCACACCGGGTCGCCGGCAAGGGCAGCTGCAAAGGACCCAATCCCTGCATTCATGTCCATGATGTTCCGGTATCTGCCCTGGCCCAGGGCTGGCAGCACAGCCTCCTTGTACCACGCCACTCGCTTCGTCCACCTGCGCAGGCTGTTCAGGAACCTCTTAACGAGGGGTTTACTGTTTGCAGCGCCGTCAGCAGCGGCAGCGGCGGCGGCAGAGGCGCGCTTGATGCGAGGGGGGGCCTGGGCGAGGCGCTTGGGCCAGGGGGCGAGGGGAGTGGAAGTTAGAGGAGCGCGGGAGACGCAGCGCTTCATGGGAGTATACCAGGCATCATCGGGATCATCCGACTCAGGGCATAACTCCAGCCGCAAATCCGCCACTGCCCCATCTACTCCCCCCCCTCCTCCTCCTCCTGCCAGCACGCGCCGTGCAGCCCCCTCTCCCACGAGCTCTCCCAGCCGCCTCCTCCTCGCCTCGCCTTTCTTCCCAGCAAAGCACGAATCATCCGCCCGCTTCTGCCACACGGCTACAGCGTCCTTCTGCCCGACCTTGCGCCAGCAGAGCGCCATGGCGACGGCGATTATCCCGTCCTCCTGTGCGCGCATCTCGGATTCCGGCTTGCCCCAGTGCTTGTTGTGGTTCTGCCAGTCCACCGGTGGGCCTGAGAGCACCCAGTAGCCGCTGGGGCGGAGCAGCCGGTCGACCTCGATTAGGTAGAGCCCGCCTGGGGAGTAGGGAGCACGGGGTGGGAGAGGGAGAGGGTGCGCTGTGAAGCCGGTTTCCTTTGATGTGATGTGAAGTTGTGGGAAGAGGGGCTGAAGAGGGTAAGTTAGAAGTGAGTTGCTGGGATGGTGAATGTGGGGAGATGCGAAGGACAGGAGAGGAGACGGAAAGAGGAAGGAGAAAAGAAAAAAGGGGGAGAGGCTTGGGGGGAAAGGGAGCAACGCGGGGGAATGGATGACACATGTAGAGTTGCGTTCATGATTGTCCATAAGCCCCTCTGTCTGTCCATCACTCACCCTCCTCCTTTCACCTCTGCCAATCTCTCTCCCTCCCCCCCTCCCCCTCTCTCCCACCCTCCCATCCCCCCTCCCCTCCCCCCCTCTCCCTTCCACCCCCCTCCTCCTCCCACCCTCCCATCCCCCCTCTCCCTCCCACCCCACCTTCCTCCCGCACACCCCCCACCTTCAATGGACCACGGGATGAGGCAGCGGGAGCAGTGCGCCAGGTCGAACGCGCGAGCGGGGTAGGGCTGGCGCTTGGTGGCCATGATGCCCAGCATGGCGGGCACGCCGCGCTCCAGCGCGAACTGCACCTGCGCCTCGTGCGTGTCGCGCGGGGCGAACGACATGGCCACCATGTTGTGGCTCAGCAGCGCCGCTCCGAAGCTCGCCACCTGCCGGGGGGGAGGGGTGGGCGTGGGGGAGAGCAGGGAAGGAGGGTAGGAAGGGGGGGAAAGGAGGGGGAGAGAGGGAGGGTGGCAGAGGCGGGGGGATGGGGAGGGGGAATAGGGTTGGGAGAGGGAGCGCGTTGGGTTACGGAGGGAGAGTGGGTGGGGTTGGGGGAGGGAGAAAGCTGGGCCGAGGGAGGGAGAGAGGGGGGTTGGAGTTGGGAGAGGAGGAGCCGTGGGGATGGAGTGGAGGGGGCTGAGATCGGGGGAGAAACGGTACAGGGGAGAGAGAAGAGGGGGTTGGGGGTAGAGTAGGTGGGGTGGGTTTGATGAGACCATGATGAATTAGCACCTGGCCAACTCCACTTCCCTTGACTCCCTTCCTATCCGACCCTCCCTCCCCTTCATTCCCTCACATCCACCTCCCTTCCAAATCCGCTAGCCTTCTGCGCGCAACCCATCCAGCAGAAACCACACAAAGCGCACGTTTTCCCATCCAAACAAATCCCACGAAAATCTTCCCCTCGATCCCCCCTCTCCCTTTTCCCCTCCCTAAAACCCACCTGCTCCACACAGCAACTCACCCCGCATCCAGTATCCACCACCGTGCGCACAGACCCGTTCCCAAAGTCCGCAATCAGCTTCCCCAGCCCCTTCACATACGCGTCCGCGCCCTTGGGAAACATAGTCCCGCCGCCCGGAAACACAAACTTCTGCTGCTGCTGCTCGTACCGCACCCAGTTCTGCCCCGCCTTCTCCTCCGTCAGGTGCTTATACGGCACGTTCGCGTACCACGCCCAGTCTCTGCTCTCCGGCCACTGCGGCGGGCTGCGGTACCCCACAGGCGGGGAGACGAGGCAGGAGAGCGCGTTGGACGGCGGCGGGCAGTGCCTCTCGCGGTACTCGTACATCTTGCGGGGGAACGCGAGGGATCGCTTCACGTCCTCGCATGGCGTGTAGTCGGTTAGAGCGGCGTCGCAGGGGGGGAAGGACTCCGCGTCTGCCTCTGCTTCTTGCTCCGGGGCGGGTTCCTGCTTCTCCTCCTGCTCTTCCGCGGTTGGGGTTTTTGAAGGCTCTTCCTTGGCGCCGCCTGCCTTCTGCTCCTGCTGCTTCTCCTCCTGCTCCTCCTGCTGCTGCTCCTGCTGCTCCTTCTGCTCGTCCTGGTCCGTAACAGCACCAGCAGCAGCAGCAGCAGCAGCACCAGCAGCAGCAGCAGTGCTGCCACTATCGTCAGCAACCTTATCCGCCGCTTCTCCCTCACTCTCCACCTCACCGCCGGCAGATTTATCACCACTGCCCTCCTCCTCCTCTTCCACCACCGCTTTCTTCCCCACAGAACCTTTAGATCCACCTCCTCGGCCCACTCCCTCTCCACCTTCCTCTCCCTTTTCCTCTACCTCTCCTTCTCCTTCTCCTTCTCCTTCTCCCTCCCCTTCGCCCCCAGCAGCAGCTGCCGTCCCCTCCTCTTCCTCCTCCACCACCTTTTTCGCAGCCTTCGGCGTCTTCTTAACCACGCGCGCTTCCTCCTCCTCCTCCTCCTGCTCCCCACCATCGCTAGACCCCTCCCCTGACTCCGACTCCTTACCCACTCCGCCCTTTGCTTTCCCGCCAGCAGCACCCTCCGCCGCCTCTTCCTCCCTTCCCTCGTCTCCCCCTGCCTCATCCGTCGCGCTCTCCTCCTCTTCCGCCTCGTCAGCCGCCTTGCCCTTCGCCTTGACAACCTTGCTGCTGCTCTTCGCCTTAGCGCCACCACCGGCGCCTCCGTCCGTCTCCGCGTCGTCGCCGTCAGCATCTGCATCAGCAGTCTCGGTATCATCCCCACCCGCCTTCTTCCCCTCCGCCGCGCCATCCTCCTCCTCCTCCTCATCTGCAGCGGCAGCAGCGGAGGGTGGTTTCTTGACGCTCTTCTTCGACTTCACGCTTGTGGCTTCCTCTTCTTCTCCTCCCTCGTCCCCACCCTCCTTCTCCTCCTCCTCCTCCTCTTCGGCAGCAGCGCCTCGCTTCTTCTTGCTCAAGCCACTCGTCGTCGCCGGCACCTTCGATGCCTTGCTCTTCTTCGGCGTCACCTCCTCCGCCGAATCTTCCTCCTCCTCCGCGTCCGTCTCTTTGCTCCCACCACCCGCACCTGTCTCCACCTCCACCTCCTTCTCCGTCTCCTCCTCCTCCGCATCCGCGCTCTTCATCTTCGTTTTCACCAAAGAGCTCTTTCGTGCGGTTGGTTTCTCGGCCTCCTCATCCTCCTCTTCCTCCTCGACTTCCTCCTTCTTCGATTTCGACTTAATCAGTGCCTTTTTCACGCCAGTTTTTTTCTTCACGGGAGCTTCATCTTCGCTCTCCTCTTCCTCCGAAGCAGCAGATTCCGTCTTATCGTCGGAATCCTTTTCCCGTGCGCCGGCAGCTTCGTCATCCCCACCTTCTGATTCCTCCTCGTCATCGGCAGCAGCTAACAACCACCGTTGGCCCGACGAGATCCGACGGTTACCGACAGATGCGGAATCTGCCATGTCCTTGCTGCCGTCAATTCCAGCAATAGACCGTGAATCTTGAGCGACGCATTCATTCGAAAACGTGGAGAGGGCCAAGACAGCAAGAACCACGGAAACAAGCCCCAGAAATGCGGGAAATCTTCCCATCTCGTCTTACTCAAAACGCAATCACGTTATTATACGCGATCTCGTACCGAAGGCTCCAAGAGATGTTTCATGAAACCTTTCAAGATCCTTCTGAATTCCCACGGCCGAAACCGAAGGCCGTGAGAGGGACAGCAATGCAATGTTAGATAAGACGACGATAAAGAAGCACGAAAATCCTGGTCCCCGCTCCTACCTGATGCAGGAGGATGTGCTGTCAGTGGGAACCACTCTCCAGCACCAGCGAATCAAGGAGCGGAAGTCCTTGGATTCCTGTACCGGCACCAGCAAATGGTCCCTTTTCTAGTTGTGTCATTCCTAGATCAAGGTGAGCTTTTTGTGATGAAGGTGTCATTCCTAGATCTCATCAACTTCACGGTTTGGAGAATGGGCACCAGCCCTGCGTTTGAGGGGTAATTTTCCGCATTTTACAAGGTGCCCTGATCCGACGAGTGATCTTTCCACGACAAGAAAGTGCTGGAATTGTAGTTCCCCCATTCCTCCTCCCACATCTCCAGCCTACGAGGAGGGCGTCTAATCCCGAACCGTCGTCTGTTCCTGGTTCGCAACCTAGAGCCTCAACAAATTAAGGTGGACAATTACCATGTTTTCTCTAAGATGTGAGTCCATTCTGGCTAGAAACAGGTGACAGTGTTCAAAACCACAAATTGCGGGCAATCTTGGCTGGGAATTGGGGGCTGACGAGCGCCTGACAACAAACGTAGCTCTGGTTGGACGTCTGACGTTTTAGGTGGAAGGAGCTGAGAGGTTCTTCAGGAAAAACCAAGGGTGCTTCGGCCCGGCTTGGTGAACGAAGCTGAAGTGCCATGATCCGAGCCAGCGAGTACTGTGTGAGTCCGCTCAAGCCGTTTAAGGTTCGGAATTGCCTGGTTCGACAAACGCAATGGCGCTGTTCTGCTGGCCTGGAGTTCTCGGCTGCCGCACCAGTGGTGCATAGGTCCGTTTCGTAGTGCCTTCGCTAATTTGGTTGAGCTGGCAAAACATTAAGGCCCTGTTCGGTAGCCCCCCCGGTCACACTGCGGTTGGTGCAGGTGCTCTTCCTCGGCCCAATTTCGACTCACCTTAAAGCCCACCGAACCGTTATTAGAACACCATACCTGCCCAGCGCAAGTGGCTACCGAACGCGTGAAAAACCCAGACCGAGTGAAGTTGAGGACGCTACCACGAAAATGCTTGCTCAGGCAAGCTCAACCGCCAGTGAAAGTCAACTCCATTTCTGCTTTCCAGTTCCACTCAGGCATGGCCGCTCTGAGTGGCACGCTGTAGGGTAAACACTGCATTAGTTTCGAATCGGATCAAATTATGTTTTTAAGCCCGCTCGTTCAAACGATGAGAGATCGTGCCCGTTCGTGATTTTCTTTTATCCATATCCAGGGTGTTTCATTTGGCGGGCTGTTTTTTGTTTGTGAGCTGGGCAGCCTCGTACAAAAGTAAAAGTTTCGACCAGTAATTTCTCGAGAAACACACTGTAACTTCTTGCCTTAGTGGACGAGACTTCCTTTCAGTGTTAGTGGACGCCCGAGGCTACGAAACATGTCGTAGGCTTCCCCAGTTCGAGTGGGCCCAGTGTGACTGGAAGGCTACCGAACAGGACTGAAGGTTCTAATTTAACCGATGCGGTGTTTGCCAGCACTTTTGAAAGAACAAACGACGAGATCAGGAAGGTCAGTTACGCCTTCCTGATCCCGTCAGTTAGGGTTCGTTAAGCTCCGTCAGCATGGTCAGCCCGTAAAAATATGGCCGAACCTCTTATGCCGTCCGAACCAAATGGATATTTGAGGGCCCGGCAAACGCCCTCAATTGTCCACCATTTCGAACGGCATGACGGCATCTGGAAATGGGGACGCAATTGTGTCCCTGGGCAAACATTCCGCCCCATGCCATTCCATCGCCATTCACCAATCACATTGGAGATCAGAGGGGAACCTCAACCATAGCCAAATGTGTAACAAATGAGTGTACGTTTACCCCCAAAATTTTTATTTTCGTTAACCCAAATGAGGGTTGTACTTGAGCTGGCTCATTTTTTCTTGTCCAATTTTACCCTAGTCCAGTAGTTTTGGCCCCTGGTCAGGCAATGGTCAGTGACGCAAAAAATTCGCGCCAGTAGGGGGGGAGGTGGGGATGGAGGTTCCAGATGCGGTTGCCACATTTCCCATATCGAGACCCGAAGTTTCGCGAATGGCATTTCGCCCAAACCTCTTCGGTGGGTTCCGCCCCCGGTTCCTGATGCCGTTGCCATTCCGATGCCGTCAAATTTCATTCAAAATTATATGTGCTGGCGAACACCGCGCAAGGTAAACTTTTTGTTCGAACAGCACGTCCAAATTCGGGTCTGCCCATCGTGAATAATGTTTGGCAAAACACGAACCTACGGTATCTCTTCCAAACCTCTTAGAACCTGGCCCAGACCGCCTCTGATCGCCCCGATTAGAGACGATAAACAAATTCTAGGAAGCCCCAAGGCCAATTTCAGACAATCAGGGGCCGATATAGTTGATCGCGATCAATTGATTGCCCCAACTCAATCAACCACCTCAAACACCCCAATCAATCACAATCACACACAATCAGTCACGATCACTTGACTGCATGGGATTGGGGATCTTCGCGACGCCTACAAATAAGTTATAGTGTCTCGTTAAGCTCGTCAAGCCGGTCAGATCAGATCAGATCAGATCAGCGGCGATCAGAGGTCGTCTAGGCCACGTCCTTAAGACGAGGGCCCTGTGAGAAGAAGTGAACGAGAGAATGGGTGAGCTATGAACGAAGTGAGTACAAATAGGAAACCCTAGTTGGGTTGTACCCACTATGGGATACCCCACTATGGCCTACACAAATAAGTAAGCTAAAATATTCTGACACACCCCCATAGGCAAAGTGGGGGAGAACAAGGGGTCACAAGACCAGTCAAGCAAAGCAAAGCAAAGCTCAGGGAGGATCACAAAGTCACCACACATTCCGAGCACAAGTTCAAAGGCCACAAGGCCAGTTCACATGCAAGATCATATATAGAGATATACAAGAGTCAAGCAAGCAAGAACAAGAGTATATATAGGTCAAGGTACAAGTAAGGTCAAGAAGTGAGCAAGTGAGGCAAGACAGGCACAAGACCCAGCTGCGTGCAGCAACGCTGATGATCACAAGGCGCAAGTGCCTTGGTGAAGACATCAGCAGTGTTGGCCTCAGAGGCCACGTAAGCAAGTCGCAACTATCCACGCTGCTGTAGCTCACGAGCAAGAAAGTAGCGGAGAGCAATGTGCTTTGTCTTGTGCTCCAGTCGCTGCTCTCGACACAAGGCCAGCATGGCCTTGTTGTCTACGTACAGGACTGAGGGAGAACGAGGCGGCTCTCCAAGGTCGGTCAGCAGGTAGGTGAGCCAGCGAAGCTCCTGAGCAGCCATAGCCCCGGCGTAGATCTCAGCCTCACAACTGGAGCCGAGAACAGAAGACGAGCGGGTAGCTCGCCACGAAACAGAGCCAGAACCAAGGCTGAAGGTGTAACCCTGTGACGACCGCTGCGTAGCCTGGTCGTCAGCCCAAGAAGCGTCCGCGTGCCCAGTGAGGACCACTGGACTGCGCCCTCCAAGCACTAGCCCCATGCCCGATGTACTGCACAAGTAGCGCAACACCCTCTTCGCTGCAGCCATGTGCTCTGGTCGGTGTCTCCCAGGAGCAACATAGCGTGCGAGAATGCTAAGAGGGTATGCAAGGTCAGGTCGTGTGCAGGTCATCAGGTACATGAGGCAGCCAACAAGCTCTGCATACGGACCACTCGACTCTACGGACTCATCCGAAGGCAGAGCTGAGAGTGAGTGGCGAGTAGGCAGAGGAGTGGCCTGAGGCGAGGAGTACGTGAAGCCGAAGCGCTGAAAGACCTGCTGCACCATGTGTGACTAAGTCAGGGTAATGGTGCGGCGTGCTCTGTCCCGGGTGATCTGCAAGCCAAGGTAGCTGCGCAGTTCACCCAGGTCAGTGCACGTGTGTCTCTTCTGCAGCTCGGACTTCACGTAGGCGAGTCCAGCAGTGTCAGCTGTGGCAAAGACCAAGTCGGCGACGTACACGAGGATGTAGAACGGCGGCAGAGAGGTGTCGGTGCGCAGAAACAGCGACGGGTCGGCAGTAGAAGGAGCAAACCCAAGTGCCGCCAGCGTAGTCCTCAGTGTGTTGTGCCACTCACGTGGCGCCTGGCGGAGACCGTAGACTGGACGCCGGAGACTCCACTGGGTACTAGGAGGGAAAGACCCAGTGAAGCCAGGTGGGCGACGCAGCCAGATCTCCTCGTGCAGGCTGCCCTGCAAGAAAGCAGTGCTGAAGTCGAGGGAGTGCAGCTCGTAGTCGCGGTGAGCAGCAACGTGCAGCAGTACCCGAAGAGTGGTCATCTTCGGGGTGGGGGAGAAGGTCTGAAAGTAGTCAACTCCCTGCCGCTGACTGAAGCCACGAGCCACGTAACGCGCCTTGAAGGCAGGCGGAGAACCCGGCGGCCGCTTCACCCTGAAATTCCACATGCCACTGACTATGTTCGCCCCAGGAGGGGGAACAGCGTCAACGTAGGTGCCTGTGGACTTCCAGGAAGCCATCTCTGTATCCATAGCTGCCTGCCACTGAGAGGAGTAGGGACCCTCTATCGCCTCCGCGTAAGAGCGCGGAGTCGGGATGTCTAGTGCATCCGGGTCCCCCTCAGGGGCGAGCAGTACAGACGCGAGATGAGGTGAAGCGGCGGCCAGACACTGGAACTCCTCCTGCCTGTCCTCAAGGACGTCCGTGCCAAGGGCACACTCACCCCCGACGGACGGAGGACAGGCAGACTCAGACTCAGCGACAAGACTAGCAGCGTAGTCTAGACGACGGCGC